AAATCATGGATGGTTGAGATGCAAACGAGAATGGAGGGGGAAGGGGGGCGAGGAAATCCTTGCCAAGGATAGCGATGCCTTCGAGGGGAGGAAAAAGGAGTTTGCATAGCGGCCACTTCTTTGCTCGCTACGAATGCGCAGAGAATATCTTTGTTCTGTGCAAATTAGATTGTTCCAAAAAAATGGGAGGGGGAAAATCGTTAAATCAAAATAAACGAAAGGAAAGGAATGGAGGAAGGAAACTCGAATGGGAAAGAGGAGAACGTACCACCGGCGCAAGACTCGGGCGTACGTACGTAGTTCTCGTCCCCGCATTTTGATTCGCATTAATTTTTTTTTCTTTTTTTTTTCCTAACTCGGTTACCTTCACCACCGATCCAAGTCCAAACTCGATAATCGAATTCCAGCTCGAAAAACTTCCTCCCAACTTTCCGCCCAATCTTGAAAAACCGGAAAGTTGCCCTTCGTTTTAATCAACTCGTCCTGATCGGCGAGTAGTTGCCGACAAAGTTCATCGAACTCGAGCCGCCTCGAAAAATAACTCATCGATATCGAGGTCCATCGAGGCGTGGCACGAGAGTGGCTACTCTCCCGTCCCCTTTCTTTCTCCCCTCCCCGTCGAGTTTATCATCTCGTGACGGAGAAAAGCGTCGAGACGTAAACCTCGTTATCAAGATGGCCGGGCGATGACGATAGATAGACAGAAGTAGCCAAGGACCACGGAGGCGGAAAGAAAGAAACGAAGGGACGAGAAAACGAGGAACGATCCGTGTTTGCATAAAAATTTTTACTCGCCAAGGAAGGAGGAGGAGGAGGAGGAGGAGGATCCGTGTGGGACAAAGGGAAAGGAAATTCATTCAGAATTCGATCCGCATCTTCGAACGACTTCGTTATCCTTCCTTCTCGAAACGAAACATTCCCCCTCTCCACGACCACTTCACCAACATCTAATAAGATGTTTCTAGCGCATGTTGAAGCGCATTTGTGCATACCGTTTGCTATTTGCCCGAGCAAATGTCTGGATGCGGCCGCTTGGACGAACGGATCGCTTGGAACTCGGCGAAACGACGAAAATCAATGGGGAATGCGTGTCAGAGGGATGACGGTCCCTGACGGTATACTAGCCGAATTACACGGGATATCGTGGGATCGTGGGTGTGTATCGGAAATTTCACGGATGCGCTCACGTCATCCTGGCCCGCAAACACGGTGGTGAACGAAGAACACACCGTGATTCGCAGAGGAAGATCGATTAATTATGCGGAAAGGGAATGGGTCACGAGACGTGGGAAATTAGGTGATAATTGGCTCGTTCGTTACGCGTGGATTAAAGTCAAGAATCGTTTCACTCTGATTCCTCGCGGGGATTTCAATGCTGGGTGTAATTTCATTTCGAGCTCGAGTTAGAGCGAATCGTCGAGCACCATCGTTGGTGAAATCAACACGAGTATCATCCAGCCGAGCAATGATTCGCAGTGCCGGAGTTTCATCTCGCGCGTTCATCCTATCCTCTAGATACGATGTTTCAACTTTATTTTTTTTTTTTTTTTTACCCCTGTCTGTCCAAACAGAATGATGATCCTCGACAAAAATAATTCGGTGAAATTTCGCTTCGAAGTTGTCCCGATCGTTGTCCTTCAAACTTTTCCTCCGCGAAAAAAAAAGGCAGCTGTTGAAATGATCGATCCAAACTTCTCTCCCCCCTCTCCCCTCCCCGTATTCTTTCAAACTTGAATTCCAATCTTGTCCCGATAAATAAAACGTCGGTTATTCACCCCGCGATAAAACAAACTCGCATCTCTGAATCTTGAATTCAATAATCCACCATGTGAATTATTTATCACCGTTTCCTCGTATTCTGATATCTCTCTTTCTCTCTCTCTCTCTCTCGTAAAAATATCGCCAGCTCATAAATTTCCATCCTTCCGTCCATCGTGATCTTTAAAAAGCTCGGCCGATCCGAGCGTCCCTTCGAATCTTGCGCGGTGTCAGCCTCGATGAATCGTAATTTTCAAATTTACGATAACGATTCATCGCAACGGCCGATTGCCACGCGTGCGTATGTGTATATATATATATATATATACATATATATATCATTGGTCGTTGGTCGTTGTTGTTCGCATCGAAAATTTACGAGTGTATCTCGTCTGAACGAGAGCCACTCCATTCACGATGAAAACGTCTCTCTCCCGTTGGGTGGGAAGGGAGGAACGAAGGGAGAGGATGATAAATTATGCAGAAAGAGAATTGGCTACCGACCGGGGGGAAGGGAAGGGAAGTTGGTCGTGCGGTGTCTCGAAGGTGTTGGGCCTCTCTCCGATACTCTCGAATACTTCCTCGTTGTAAGAAGGAATCCGCGCAATTTTAAATTTTCACCTTCCAATTTTACGTGTTTGCGCCCTATGTGTTTATTGGAAAATTTCGACTCGGAATAAGATTACGATTCGATTCCTCGCAGGGGATACGATGGTGAATAAGTTAGCGGAAGTGGAAAATCACTCGGCATCTCGACGACGAGATATGGTTAAGACTTTAAGACACTTCTTCTTCTTGGATCTTGGATCCTGGAGCGGGGACACGGCCGAGTAAATTCTCTCTCCCTGTAAAAATTTTACGGTGACGCGTAGTTTCGTTTCGTTCAAAACATTCGAGTCACGAATCATCGAATCGAACGATGAAAAAAAGGAAAAAGAAGAGGGGAACGAAAAGGTTTTCAACTTTATTTTCCTCCATAGGTAACAAATATACAGAGCGTCAAAGTCAACCATACTTCAGCGTCCGAATATTTTCGTTCACTCGCCGTATAGAATCCGCGATATAAATTTTTCTCCGCCCCGAGAAATTTAAATGGAAGGCATAATTTTACCAGGATCCACACCGACGGATTCTCTCCGTCTACTCCGTCGACGCAATACCACTTTTTATTTACACGTACGTACGGATCGCGAAATTATTCGAGCTTGATTCCACCGTTTTATCCCGCCCGTCAATATTTGCCGAGTTATCTCGGTCGCGAGATACTGTACACGCACACATACGCGCGCACACCTATACCGTACACATACATATTTGTATAATTTTCAATGTTTCAAATTTTTCATCGAGTCAGATTTTGATCGAGACTCCATCCATGGGAACAAAATCGGGGGCTGGTTCGAGCGATCGTAAGCGTTTAAGAACGCGTTAAACTCGTCGCGTTATTCCATTTCGCGATCCCCCATACGCGATGATACGCGAACGCAAATAGTATCGGTTCACAGGAGAGATTCGAACAACTCGAGGCAAACTCGATAGTGCGCGTATTCACCGGATTTTTTTCGTTCTCGAAAAAAAAAAAAAAAAAAANNNNAAAAAAAAAAAAAAAAAAAAAAGAAAGAAAGGAAAAAACAAAAACCCGAAAAAAATCCAATCCGCGACTTTGACTTATATCTCTCTCTCTCTCTTTTTTTTTTTTCGGTTCGCTTGTTTCACGTTACAATCACCGGGGCTATAGATCGTGGAATGATTTTTTGCGCCACGTTCTCCGTGTATCGAGGATTTCCGATCGGCGATTGGAAGGGACCGGTCGCGAAAAATTATTATTTTTTTCGAAACGGGAGATCCGGGAAACGGGAAATTGTAGATTGCGCAAACAGGAAAAATCACCGCGTGGAAAATGTCCGCGTGAAGTTTCGCTCGTGGATCGAATTAAAGGAAGGGAAACAGAGAGGGAGAGAGGGGGATAGAGATGGAGATAGAGACAAAATTAATGAAAAAAGAAAAAAGAAAAAAAAATGGGAAAAAATTTTTTCCTCCTGCGCCCACGTGAGATTTCAACGCGGTCGTATTCAGCATTCACGGGTTCCATTTTCTTCGGGTGTTGCGTCACGATGCCATACTTTTTCCACGCTCGATGTCGAGACATATACATATACGCGCCTGTACACATTGTTGTGTGTTTGCAGCGGTTGCGCGAGCGTAAACAGCCTCGAGGCTGAAGCTTAGAAAAAAACGCGCCAGCGGTTGCTTTTATTTTCCAACGGTTTTATTCCACGCTGTCTTACTTATTCTTCGACATCGTCGCGTCTGGGCTGATTTCTGTTGCGTGACACCGATTTCTTTTTTCCTCCATTTTTCTTTTATAAAACGACATAGTCGTCGTCGTCGTCGTCGTCGTCGTCGTCGCACAGGACGATGAAAAGGATGCTCCTCCTCATCACCGTCTTACGATTTCTCCACAAATGATTCCTCTACGAAATTTGCCCGAATATCGAGTTCTCGTAATTTTTATTCGAACGAATTATTCATTTATTGTCCTCCCATTGAACGAGGAATAATAACACGTACGCGAAATATTGAATTTGTATATGTACAAATATCGGAAAGGTAAATCAATTACCGTTGCGTATCCGTGTATTTTAAACTGTTTCGAGTTTCTATAAACGCTTAAAAATCGGCCCGCAGTTATTTTTTATCATTATTTTTCAAAACTGATGTTTACCCCTCGAATTCGATTTTTTCTTTTTCCTGTCAATTTATCTGACCGCTTGAAATTCGATGAATCGACATTCACGCTCGTATCGTAAAACAACCGTACGATAAATTTCGACTCCAACTCAAACGCTCAATCGCGTCACTTGGACGAGAGAGAGAGAGAGAGAGAGAGAGAGAGAGAGAGAGAGAGAGAGAGAGAGAGAGAAGAAGAAGAAGAAAAATTCGCGGGGAAAAACTTCTCTCGGATCCTTCGTCGTCGTTATTATCATCGAATCGCATCTTATTATCCGATTATCCGCTGCCCTCGTTTCCTCGTCGTTTGGGCGACAAGAGTCGAAACGGTTGGCAGGCGTCGACTTCTCTAATCCGTGGCACGCCGGTCGTTACGGTGTCATCGTCGCACAGAGGCGTCCCCCCCTCCTTTTTCCGCCCTCTTTTCCTCGCCAGAGGATATATTCGAGGGCCGGACGCGAAGGTTTGCGCGGCGCATTTTAATGAACTCGCCATCCCATCTTGTTTTCCAGCGGTGTGAGTCTCTACGGCAGAAGGGAGGAGGCGCAGGCTCCCGCGGGGGGCGCGGGGGGTGGCGGTGGCGGTGGCGTCGCAGGCGGAGGGAGAGACGGTGGAGCGGACCGGAACCGGAAATGGCTGCGAGGTGGCTCCTGCTGGCGCTCCTCGCCGCCCACGCCGCGGCTCTTCCTGATATCATTAGGATAGGTGAGTATCTTTCCAGTCTCTACCTTCTCGAGTTAAAAGGCTCCCTTTCTCTCTCTCTCTCTCTCTCTCTCTTACCTTTTCTCTTTTCACTTTGCTCCCATGCCTCCTCCTCCTCCCTTTTCAACTGTGCACCATTTTATATCCGCGCCTCACGTTTCTCACCTTCCATTCTGAGAAATGAAATTCTGAAATCGATACGTTTTTTCAAGAGACGAAGATCTCGATCGATCAAAGATTTCACCACGATCGAATTTCTCCACTCGTCGCCGCCTCGTATTACAGTTAATCCTTGTGGGAAAAAATTCAAGGGTAATTTTTAAAAATTAAACGAAGGCTACTTCGGTAGATCCTTGGTAGACTTTAACTCTCGTAATCCTTGTCAAAGTTAGGTTGGAGGGGGCCATGTCGGAAAAGTTAAGCAGATATTATCCCTTCAACTCCGGACAGGCTTCCGCAAAAAAAAAAAAAAAAAAAAGAAAAGAAAAAAAAGAAGGATAAAATGGCGAGGACTTAATAGGATTTAAATAATATCAACCCGTTCCAGCGAACGAGATAAATCTTGTTGAATTATCACATTTATTCGCTGTTTGTAAATATTTGTTTTCGCATATTGTTCACGATACGAAAGATTAATGGGCACGTCGTGTAATATCTCCTCTCCTCGAAATACCGCACGCGTGTCTGTTGCCGTCGCGTAAGTAGTAACACCGGTGCACGGTCAGGCAACCGGGATGACAAAGCGAAACGTTCTCCTTGGAATGCTGGGAATGCGAACAACGTTGTACCGCTTGTCGGTAGGTGGTCGTTCAAGTGATAGAATCACCTTTCGCGATTCGTGTAAACGATAGCAACAGCTTAACAACGCAGTTTCAACGACGTTGCGCGACTTTTCATGCTCGTTGAACAGCTATTGTATCGTTTTTGTATCGCGGAACACGCGTCGCGCTACTTCACTTTTCCGCAACTACTTGTCAAACTTTTAACAAATAATCGTTCGTGGTACAATAGAATATTAATAAGCTGATAAGCTTTTAACAAATATATACCTCGGAATAAACGTACGATTTTGATATTTTTCTCTTTAAAATCACTCGCGAAATTATTTATTACCGATTTATCGTCGATCAATGTCATCATCGAGAAGAAAGCGGAGGATCTACGCATTAACCGTATATAATAATTTCCAAGCACCTTTAATCATTTTATCAAATAAAATCATAAACTCTTGTTCCGCCTCTATTCGTTCTACCCCGCTCGTTGGTGAATCCCTCGCGCGAGTAATTAAACCTCGTTTCACGTACGAATACGTTGACCGAACGTACGAGTCCGCGATATTAATTTAACGTTTTCTCTTTTTTTTTTTTCCCTTTTTCGTTTCGAGAGTTGGATTCGTACACGAGATAATTCATTAACAATCAATGAATATTCAAGTCTTATTAATTGGACGAAGCGATAGATAGATAGATAGGTGAAAAAGAAAGGCGTCACTCGATCGACCCGCGAAATAAATTAACCAGCCTCGTTTCTTCTCTTTTTTTTTTTTTAATCGATAATATCAACTGCCGGATCATAACTCCATCTCCGCGCGATTAAACGCTCCTCGCCGAGGAAACTCTTCGGGAGACGAGGCTGGAGGATATATAGAACGTAACGTAGAAACGTAACGATAACCATTGGAGGGGTAAAATTTTACGGTGAATTCTGAAGGTTTATCTCGACTCAGTGGTGTGCCAAATCGACCGAGATTTATGGCCGCGGAGGAGGATTAACGTTTCCTTTCGCTTTGTTTCGCTCTTAGTCCTTTTATGATCCCTCCTCTCCGTAATCCGGATTTCTAGTGTCTTTATTACGGTCTTTCCTTTCTTTTTTTTTATTTTTTATTTTTTATTTTTTTCTTCTCCCTTTATCGGGATCCGATACATTGGTGGATACTTCTCGAAATTAATCGATGCCCATCCTTAACGAGAGACGTAAATCTATCGCGTGAATTCTATAAATTGTGGAGTCAGGTTGGCGCAGATGTTCGCCAAGTTACTTTATGACGCGCGCGAGATTAAAATCAATTTATGGCGCCAATTCCTTTCCGCTTTGAATTCGATCGGATCGAATGAGACGAGATGAGAGACTTCTCGTTCGTTTGCTTCGCCTGAATTATTCCTCGAGAATCTTTTTTTCTTTTTTTCCAAGATTCGGATAACGATTATGTATTATCTCGATTAATAGAATCAAAATTTTGTTTTCTTCTTACTCAACAACTTTACTTGAAACACGAAAAACGTTTTGAAAATTATTTAAGATTTAAATATGGACGGTTCGAAGTTTCGCAAGTTTCCTATCCTCTACTTCTTTCATTTTATCTTCCTGTTTTTTCTTCTTTCTTTCTTTTTTTTTTACTGACCTACTTTTGCCTTATCTACTTCTTTACGTTCATTGCATATTAACGTCACGAGAATTACGCGGCCATTCTCCCTCGTTGGCAATTCGCCCCATTTTCCGCGGAAAAAAGTGTATCTTTCCTCCTTCGAATACCGAACGATTGCGGCGTTTTCGACCCACCCTTAAACAATTCATTATCACCCTTAAACAATTCACAATCCTATCGATCCGCGCGATTTCAATTATTAAGAAATATATTCGATTCGAACATTCGAACGTAAGTCTCTCGAAAGCAAGTGTCCACCGTGGAGGAAAAAATCTTTTCCTCGTTCGCAAAGGAAGGAAAAGGGTCGAAAGAATTGGTCAATATTTAATACGCGTAGATGCTCGCGAGACGAGTAAACTTTTAGATTCCATTATTTTCTTAGCAAAGGTGGTCTCCGCGTGGCGTAAGATCGAAATAAAAGAAAGAAAAAAAAAAGGAGAAAGAAAAAGATATCCCCGCGCGAGGGAAAAAGTAAGGAATATTCACGCCTCGCTCCCGTCAAAAGTAACGCTTTAACACGGATGCGTGATTTCCCAGGTGGGCTGTTTCATCCGTCGGACGACAAGCAAGAAGTGGCCTTTCGTTATGCCGTGGAAAAGATCAACGCCAACCGGGATATCCTGCCCAAGTCCCGTCTCAGCGCCCAGATTGAGCAGATAAAACCGCAGGACAGTTTCCACGCTTCGAAGCGAGGTGAGTGCGGGCCCCGTTTTTTCTTCTCTCCCCTCGCATCAACCCTCCAAACCGGTCTCCCTCTTCGTCCATTTAACGTCAAAGGGAGGGAGAGGTCTCAATTTTAACCACCGCGGGATAAACCACCGCGATGATTATTCTATTTCCTCTCCTCTAATCGCCGTGTTTTCAACGGCGCACAACGTTTAATTTGGGGAATTACGGATCAGAGATGGGACACGGCTCGGATGGTTTGGGGAAATTAGTGTTATTCGGTGGAATATTGACTCGAGCGGCATCGATCGGATCTCTGGAGCTCTCTGGATATATACGTATATACACGGTTATATTTTTCACGGGCGCGAGTGACATCGACACAGGCAAAGCGAAAAACCAATAGGCAAAAACAAGGCAGGACCACCTCTATCAAACATACATCAGCCAATCACGGTTAGTCGAAACTAATATAAACGGTTGTGATGTATAACAACGGGAAAACAGAGTTTTTTAATCAAAAAAAAAAAGGAGGAAAAAACGAGTTGAATCACGAGCTCGCGTGATAAAGTATGAAAGGCTCTCCATTAAACCGATCATCATTCGCCTGATTTTTTTTTTTTTTATTTATCTTAACGAGAAAGTGGTTCAAGAAAAACTCGTTCCGCTGTCGTTACTCTTAATCGTAATTAATAGACTTGGCTTCCCAATTAACAGATGATCGTGTTTGCGAAGTCATCGAGGAAAATTCGATAATCGTTAAGCGGAAAATAGACTGGAGGTTTCATTATCGCCGTTAGTCGAATATGCGCGGGCTCGAGGAGTTAAACACCTCGAGTTCTTGACTTACTTTGATCCTTCGGTAGAAGTTTAATCGGGTAACGCGGTAATTACCCACTCTTAATGGGTATCTTCTTGCGTGGCTCGTGGGACGTCGTCAAACCGCGGATCTAATCGAATCTCTGTGTCTCCTCGAAAAGAGGGGAGGAAAGTTTCGCGGGAAGAATAATAACTAATAAGATGCCTCGTTTCGTAAATTACGAGGGAACTACTTTGCACTACTTGGAAGCGTTGCACGGTTATGCGTTGGAGAGCATGTACGCTTTCCAAGACTTTCCAAACGGGAAACACCATGAAGATAATCCAACTTCCATAGAATTTTCCCTACGTTCCCCCGGCCGAGCCGGAGTTTCCGTTTTACAAGAACTATTTTCCAAGTTCCTCCTCCTCCTCCTCTTCCTTCGCCGACATGAGAAAATAAACTTGCGTTTCCTCGCTGCAGATTTCCCGTGTCAGTTCGCGTCCCCCTCTTGTCAATGTCGCGTATCCTGGCCAAGAAAAGTTTCTTAACAATGTTATCTCGGTTCACCCTTGTCTCCCACCGAGTCGATACCATCGGGTCTCCCATGTCGGCCTTTCTATTCCCCTCGTCTTTCTCCTCTTTACGGCGAATTAAAAAAATCACATCACAGGATATTTTCCGCGCTAATTTTTCGTAAGGAAAGGTTGAAGCTATTTTTTTTATTCTCGCATTGTCCTATCCTATATTTCTATATATATATATATCGTCTTTCTCGTCTTTACGATTAATTAAAAAAAATCACATCACAGGATATTTTCCTCGCGCAAGTTTTTCGTAAGGGAAAGTTGAAGCTATTTTTTTTATTCTCGCATTCTATCCTATCGTATATTTCTATATATATCGTCTTTCTCGTCTTTATTAAAAAAAATCACATCACAGGATATTTTCCTCGTTCAAGTTTTTCGAAAGGGAAGGCTACTTTTTCCATTCTCGTATTCTGTCCTATCGTATATTTCTATATATATCGTCTTTCTCGTCTTTACGGCGAATTAAAAAAATTACAGGATATTTTCCTCGCGCAAGTTTTTCGTAAGGAAAGCTATTTTTTCCATTCTCGCATTCTGTCCTATCGTATATATATGAATTGTCGAATTGATCGTGGATAATTGTGAACAATATCGAACAATTTATAATTATCCTTGATGAAAAATCTCCGTTTCCGTGTAAACGTTTCCGTTCCAAACACGTTCGTGAATTCGATGATGAATCGAATGTGACTAATTGAAAGGAAATATGGTTAATTTCCTTGGGCGTTGATCGTATCGTAGCGCGGATCGGCTCGAGGCAATCGCGAAAACGAACGTAATTATACGATCGAACGGCTTAGGAATAATTGTTATCACAATGGCGGATGGTGGGTTGGAAATCGTTGGGAAGGGGAAACGTCGGCGGCCGGTTATTAATCGGTTGCAGAAATCCGCCGCCGCGGAGCAGCGATAATTATTTTCGCGTGTCGCCCGATCGTCACCTGACTAATTATCGAATTAAGCCCTTCGATATATTAAGCCAAATTATTAAGCTCTTGCACGCACACATGCGGGTGTACATACATATATATACATAGTCGTTTTGGCTGACCCGTAAACGGGACAAATCACGCGTACACGCGTTGTTACTCGATGGATCGAGATTTTGGCGTCGTTCCACGTGCACCAGTCCCGAGGGCAATCTCATTGACAAATCTCTCTTTTGTCGGTGACACGACAACGATTCGCGGTCTGTAAAAACCCGGCCGTGTACAAGAGTTGAAGCAGACCGATATATCGTTTTAATGCACTGTCGTAAATGACGCATGGGGATATTACTCGTGTAAGAGGACAAACAACTTCTTTTTTCCTGCTCGCGATACGAAAACTTAATGATACCGTACCGATACGCGTGACAAGATAAGCGACAACTTTCGTGACGCAGAGTGGATCGAAGAGAGTAAAAGAGCAGCCCTATCAAGAATCCTTTCCATTAAACCCTCTCTTCGCGTAACCGAGGTGGATCCAATTTATTAGATTCGATAGAGCGACGTAGCTGTCGTCGATATCATCCACCCTTTCTCGTCGCGAAACTACAAGGAATTCTTCGACACGATCTCTCTTAGCTGCTACCACCAACTTCCCTCGGATCGGGAATTTCCTCTACTTTTCAATTTCCAACTTTGACGATTATTGTACGCGCCGGCAGAAAAAAACACCTATCACGCGTGTCACGAATTTTTGCTTTCCGAGTTCCCGAAATAGCGGGGCGAGAAATATATATGAACGGTTGATAGAGAATTTGGCGGAGGAGTTGGAATCGGTTTCGACACGGTTCGATCCGACCGGCTCGTTTCGGCCAACGAACCCTCCCTCCTTTCGTTTCGACGAGAAGCAGAAAACGCGGATGATGCTTCCCTTCCCTTTACTGCGTTTTTTACGATATGACGAAGAAACACGACCGAGTGTCGGCGCCTTTGTTCCGACCCGTGTCCCCCTCCTCCCCCTCCTCGCGATTCCGCGTAATACAGTTTTATGGCCCTGCTCGCCTCTATCCCGGAATTATTTCTTCGCTGGCGCTCTCCTCTCGTTGCTTTTTCCGTTGGAAAACGGCGGAGGGGGAAGGGAAGGGGGATGAGGGAAGGTCGGCGACGGGGACGCATGATTCGATTATTCGCGGCCGGACTTTAACGTGCGTCTGATCGTGATACATAATGCAATAACCGCGAGAACTGTGTAAGGAAGGAAAGAAATCGTAATAGCGATTGGATATAGCGAGAAGTTTTTGATCGATCTTTGGATGTACGAATACTTATTTTATTATCTTTATTCGTTCGATGATAGAGGGTACTCGATATGACCAGTTTCTGTTGCGAGAAATGTTCGCTCTTTGGCGAGCCAATATTTTCATTTCTTCGTACGCGAAGATATAAACATTTTTATTGCTTACTTTGATATGACGAAGAGAATGAAGTTGACGGTCTCGCCTGGCTTTTGTAAGTAAGAAATTCATCTAATGTAAATTATAAACTTTATAAAAATCATTAATAATCTTGGATAGATAGATGAGAGTTTAGGGAAACTTTATCAAACTATAATCTCTTTCCTCCCAGAATTTAATCCTCTTCATCGAAAAGGAGAAAAAAGTACTTCTTACTTTTGATCGATTGCCACGATAATCGTGAAACAAGCGTATTCCCGGCATCATCTTCCTCCCCATTTATCTACTTACCACGCAGCTAAGGCAAGAATTAATCTCCAACTGTTAACTGGACTACTCGGGATCACGATCACGAAATATTTCTCGTCGAACGCAAATTTTAAAGTACTCGGCCAATCCGAAAATAATTCCTCGGAAAAAAGTCGAACGACGCGAAATTAAGAACGAGCCCTGCCTCGTTCCTAATTTCCTCCTAACTTTTGAACCCCTCTTTCTTTCCTACTATGCAAGCTCGCATAGTTGGCCGAAGTTCGGTATATATTCGCAACTTCTCAACGCTGACGGCGATTTCGCTAGCCACGGAACTGTCCTTCCCTTTGAAACTGTACCACCGTCCAATTAAGCATAATGGAAGGAAAACATCGTTCCCCCGTTGTTGCACGCTAGAACCCGTTGATAACGCGTTGTGGATCCTCCTCAACTTGCGCGCGATAGTGGCGTTCCCAAGAATGTCGTCTTCGCCCCCGCGAAATTGCCTTTCTTCGTTAACTTTCCGCCACGATACGATATTGTTTTACTTTTTTTTTTCTCCTTCCTTCCTTCTTTCCTTCCTTTCTTTGGGGGGATACCGATCGAGAGGTGGGGGAGGGAAGGGTAGTTGAGTCGAAATTGAATTAACCGTGTTCAACGGGGTATAGAAAATCGAAGTGGATAGTGGATATCGATTTTTCGATGAAATTTGTTTGCGCTGTAGCGTGGAGTTGGAGTTTTCTAGCGTCCAAAAATAAGTAGAGATAAAAAGTAACGAGGAAGGGGGGAGAAAATTGGATTATCTATTTATCCGGTCGGGAAATTTTTAAGATAAGATTCATTCGTGATATTACGTTTATTCTTTCTGAAAGTTTGAAGATTTATTGTCTAATTGTTTCAAGGAATCGAAATTACTATCTAGTTGTATGGCGTGTCAATGGATTATAACGAATATAGGAACGCAGTAGCGAAGATTATTGATGAATTTTCAGAAAAGAATCGGGCCTAT